TAGCTTGCCCCTCTGAGAAGCGCGTCAGAAGCCCTCACACTTGGAGTTTTCACATGCTACCCCAGCCGGTTAACCTAACGGGATATTCCTCCAACGGCTAGGAGCCTCTCAACGGAAAAGCTACAGGACATGCATTTAGTGCTCATTTAAAGAGCTTCACACGTTGAGATATTAAAGCTGATGATTGATCGAGATATCAGGAGAATATTATTCACTACGCCCAAAATAGCAAGTCGCCTATGTTGTGGGTCCAACCGGTCAACTCTACAGTACACGCTGTTGAATAATTGATACCCATAACCTATAATCTAGAGAGATTTGAACAAGAAATGTGGAGAAGGAGACAAGTGTGTATAGAATGAATTATGAGTTATGTTTACAAGCCTCCTATAAGGAGTATATATAGGGAAAATCCGGGTCTGAGCCTCTAATATGAGCCTGACAGACCCGATTACATAAATAGATTGATAGTATAAAAAGCTAATCTAGAACATCTGAATAATAATAATAATGTACAATAATCTGAATCTGTTAAACGTGTGTGGGCCGCTGTCCAGGCCCAATAGTCGGCAGACCGGGGGTTCGGAGTCCATATACTCCATCAAACACAATATCTCCAATAAACGCGCAATCAATTTTGCGATTAAGAGAATCACCATTAATTAGTAGCGATATCTTCACAATCCGTTGAGTCAAACAGATATCCAGAATTTGTTTTGGATTTGAATTCCATCATTTTCGAGGGTGTTCTGTACCCTAAGAACATATGGACTGTAAATGTTACATTCTCAATAATGGGAAGGAACATATAAAGGTATTTCAAGAGAAAGCTGATGAAGGTGTATTTATAGGCTATTCTAGCACAAGCATAGCCTATAGAGTACTCTATTGGACGCTATACTTCTAGTTTATAGATTAGAATATTGAGTACTTCTATTGATGTCTACTTTTGACGGTGTATCACGTAAACTCTGAAACTCATATGATGCTGGAGAGCATTTACAATAAGTTTCATCTCATTTTCCTGCCCATCAAGCCATTTCATAACATATTTTCTAACTATAGTTTCTGTTTATTCATTGGAGTACATGTTTTCCATCCATATTTTATAATATATGCAGTTTAGATAGAATTTTCTGAAGAATGAGCTTCCTGCCCATCAACCATTTCTTTGCATATTTCTAACTTTAGTTTTAGTGTAATCAACGGGGTACATTTAGCACTAGCATATACTTCGTCGAGTTCAAAGTTTTGCATTTTCCTGCTGCTTTTCGTAGTTTTTCCTTTGAGCTCAACATGTATTTTCTTTTTTAGGTGTATCAGTGTATGCTCTCTTACTGTTCTTAGCATTGTGGCTCATAATAAACATATTGAGAGTTTAAGTTGGGCACTCATAGATCAACATGCTTTGCTCGGGGAGCAGAACAGTTGGCGAAGGATATTGATTTATTTGCACAACATGCTGGCTGCAAGTCAATTAAAACTGAAGATGTGATACTTTCATGTGAGTGGATGGTGCTGCTTGCTTGAGTTTTACCCTATAATTTTAAAATTCGCGAAATGAGGGTGGATTAATCTTGTAATTGTCTCATTGTTACTCGGCGTTATCATTAACTCAATACTTCTCTATTATTAACACACAATATTTGTGATTTCCTTTCACAGCACATTGAAATAAGCACCTTGCTGCCATATTTAGATATTTCTGTGATGATTTGAAAGCAAAAGAACCCCAAACTGTGAGGAAGAGTATGAAAAGAACAAAATAGCTAGACAGGGTTGCTGCTGATAAACTCTCTTTGCTGGATGGATATTGTGTAGCACATCTGATCTCTTAACTTCGCTGAGTAAACCCGTATTCCACAAAGTCACTTCATGCATTGTATAATTCCCCGAAAGGTGTTCTACTTAATTATCCTAAGCTCGAAGAAGGTGACGTATTATAGGTTGAGATTTTTTCAAAAACATATACTCCGTATCTTAGGAAATAGCATAAATTTTATTTCAAAAAAAAAGGAAATAGCATAAATTCAGGAGTCATCAAATTTGAGCTTTGATTTATTAACTTCTTAATTAGAGCATGTTTTTTTTATTGAGTTCCTTTCTGATCGAGTAACATAATTTAATCGACCATTATATAGAAAATGAGACGGAGTAATTGTTATTCATTTTGAAAAGAAAAAGATATATCAATCACACAAATCTTTCCTTTAGAAGAAGTTTTTGAAAGAATGCTTAAATAAAAACTAAACTAATACTTCATCCATTTTTAATAGTTTAAACACTTTCACCCCTACACTATTTATATTTTCTACTTTGACTACATTTTCTTTTTTAATGGATAGAAATTATATTATAAAAGTACTATAAAACTTAAAGGTCATATTATTGAGGCTTAATGAAATGTGGGGTTCACTTTCACATTTGTTAGACAAGTTCTCTTAATAGTTAGCTGTGAGACAATGAACAAGAGTCAAACAAGATTGTTGCAAACTGTGGGTGTTAAGTCATGATATCCTGTTTTTACACATGGATGGATAGTTGTATGATAAAGTTTCGAGGGTGATAAGTTTGCCTGAGTTAAAGTTCGTGATATGTAGTGACAGTCAATATAAAAATTGCAAAAAAGTGGTTTGAGGTCTTTAATAATTTTTAATGCATGTACTTATTAAATTCTAACACTTGTGATTTTTTATTTATGATTTGTCTCATGGGTGTGTTAACTGTATTTACATATTAGCATTTATAATATCTGCATAATATATCCCGTGCAATGCACGAGTGGAATACTAGTATTAATATTTCCGATTCAATGTTATTAACCTTAGTATAGTCAGATGGTATTCCTAATATTCTTAAGAAATTAGTCGGAATTAAACAAAATTCATAAATTGAGATGTCATACCTGAATTGATATAAAGTGCGAAGAAATGACCATCTTTCAATGAGGGGGGGGGGGGGGGGGGCAGGAAGAAGACGATGGAGATCAATCGGGATGAAGTCGGGGCAGGTAGAAGATGATGGATGTTTACCGAAATCGAGATTGTGGAAAAATTGAATACCTAAATGGATAGGGGACTGGAAATTTGGGGAGTTCTCCTTCTCCTTGCTTTTCTTCTTAATTTTTCTTCGATATCTTATTAGCATAACAAAGCTCCCTTTTATAAGAGGGAGTACATGCAGATAACAAGGGAAGGGAAATCCTAGAAAATCACTTCCTAAAATAGATTAAATAATGAAGGTATCAAAATCAAATCATAATAAACTCAAGATATCGGTGATTTGACCATACCGGATTGTATGGTAAATCGTGATTTTGTGAGAAGGATCCAAACAACGGAAGTTAAGGAGACTCTGAGGAAGATGGGGCGGAAGAAAGCAGTGGGTACAAAAATTCTCAAGCTTTTTTAATATTAAAGCTTAGTACTAGAATACTTGCTATTTTTAGCAGGTTGGGCTAAAAATTCTCGTGCTATTTTCCACGGTGCAGGTACTAGAATACGCTGTCAACACTTATTTTGACATTTTTCATTCATATTATTGGACTACTAGCCGCGTGGGTCATCCCCGAGTGCGTCTAGGACGCCATTCTCGAATACTTGCTATTTTTAGCAGGTTGGGCCCGAAGTAATGTTTGGGCCGCCCGTCCTTCCTCAATTTGTCTTGAAAGGTTATATATCTTTATTTGGGAAATGTTGGGCTCTTATATTCATTAGTAAGGCCCAAATAAGTATTTGCAAACCCGACACTAATATACGAGTTTGAACAGTACAATAATCAACCATGCACTACGTAAAACATTAATCGTTTTACAATTGTTTGGAAGTCGGAAATTCACTACGTAAACTTTGAATTTTAAATGGAAATTTTCAAGGACGCTCAGGTGCGGTGTCACACGCAATCAAGTCTTAAAGCAAAGTTGAAAGTATGGCGACAGACATTGGAGAACAAGGGTTTCAGACTAAGTCGGAGCAAGACAGAGTACATGGAGTGTTAAGTTTGGTGGAGGTAGAAGCAGTGGTAATAGTGGAATTATTCTAGATGGTAAGGAGATACCAGTCAGTGATATGTTCCATTACTTGGGCTCCATAATTCAGAAGGACGATGAACTAGATGGAGATGTATCCCATAGAATCAGAACAGGGTGAATGAAGTGAAAGAGTGTGTCAGGATTTCTATGTGATAGAGATATGTCGACTGGACTGAAGGGTAAAATTTTATAGGACAACAATTAGACCTGCATTGTTGTATGGCATAGAGTGTTGGCGGTGAAACAATGTCACATTGAAAAGATGAGTGTGACAGAGATGCGCATGTTGCGTTGGATGTGTGGGCATACTAGGAAGGACCACGTGCGAAATGAGACAATCAGAAAAAGGGTGGGAGTAGCACTTATCATTTTTAGGTATATTCATCTCGTTTTATATTATCCTTTTATATTAGCTTTTTTTTCTTTTTTTTTTCTTTCTTTTCCTTTTGGTGGTGATATCATGTATCGATTCATGTAAGCCAACCCCAATATCTTTTGGGACTAAGGCTTGGATGTTGTTGTTGTTGTAGTTTTGTTGGTCTCTGAATTTGATAATAGCTAGTATTTGCTTTGTTATGTTTTCTGATGAAATACTAATCCTATGTACGATGTGAGATACTCTGTATTAAAAACTTTACATTAGCATCAACGCCGGGGTGTGATTTTTCTCAAGGTTATTTGCTTCCACACGCCTAACGCAAAAAGTTGTTATTTGTGTTGACTTATGTTGACGCAAAAAGTTTGGACGCAAAAAGTTTGGACGCAAAAAGTTTGGACGCAAATAACACTTTTTCTTGTAGTGTTTATAGGGACATTTTAGGTTGCACAGTGTCCCATAAACACTGATATTTAGCAGTGTAAAATGAGATTTTATGGTCCTACATTATGTCAAACAATTGAGATACTAATTGTGGTTTTGTCTTGACGCCATAGTGAGTTCTTGCAAAAACAAATGTTTAACAAATTCAAATATTAGAACATAATATTTATTTAAGATTTTTTCTATCTTCTTATTGTTTGTACATATTATTTTGTAACTCACATGCATAGTGGAAATGTTACCACACAGCTACACTCAACTATAGGAATTAGGAAGGTTAGCTAGCCATGCTTTTCCTCATTCGTGCGTGTAAGTGTGTATATATTCATGAGATTTGGCTCTTCATTATTATACGAGAATTTCTCAGTCCTTCATCAAACACATGATAGGGTTGACAGCGTTTCTAGTACCTGCACCGTGGAAAATTTATCTGGTGAATGACACTGTCTTGCACAAGATAACCTCCATATTGATAGCAGAAGCAGTTTGTTTCGAAAATTTTGACCACTAAACATGTGAGGCTAATTCTCAAGAAAAAACTTGATAAACTGTGCTTTTCTCATTGTTAGTAATTCCAAAATATTTGATCATGTCGGGACATTTTCCTCAGGTAAGTTCTTATAAGCTGTTTATAAGTCCACCTTTTCCTGCTGTACTCCATGAAAGCCTCTGAACTTAAATGGAAATCCCCTTTCCCTAAAGCCTCAAACATGAGTGCATCTGTTAGCACAGAAACATGATCATTCACATTCATTTTGCCCAAAGAAAAATCCAAATTCCTTCCTAGTCTTCTCTCCAGGTAAGCATCGATGATGGATCCATAAGTAACAATATCAGGAACCACATTTTCGTGCTTCATATGGTCAATGCTCACATGAAGATCCCAGAATAAGGACATTTTTGAGAAAGCGGATAACCTAATGTTGAACGTAGTAAGATCAGGACGAAATCCACTTTCAGTCATTCTCACAAATTCTCTCTGCAAGCTTTTCATTTTGAAGCAGGCAGCATACGATAATAACAAAACATTCCAAAGAAGATTCCCTACATTCCTCCTATCAAGGCCCACATCCCTGATGAACTCCCCTAGTTGGTAAAATTTCTCCTCTTTGATATAAGCACTACAGATTGACCTAATTGCTTCTTCCTCTATGAGAATTCTCGTACTCTTGAGGCGCCCATAGGCACATTCCATCTCGGAAAGTGAGCCAAACCGGCTATAGTATATGACATAGGCATTTCCCATTGCAGAATCTATAGAGTACCCCATGGAAACCATCTCCTTTAGCATAACCTCCATCTGTTGAAGTTGACCTCTTTTTCCAAAACAAGATATAACCAATGGATAAACATGTGAAAGCTTGGTAGGGTCTTTTATTTTTATTTGACGAAGAATTCTTACAACAATATCAAAACGTCCCATACGTCCGTAGACATCAATTAGTTTTGTAACTACTTGAACATCCATCACAAAAGAACTGTTTACTATTTCATCCCAAACTGCAAGCGATTTACTTACTAGACCGTTGCTGGCATAGCATAACATCAAGGCAGATAGGGTTGCAACATCGGGTAGATAGCCTTCAGATCTCATACCAAATGCAATTCTTTCGGCTTGAAGAGGTAATCCATTTGTACTCAAGTCTTCTATCTTTGAAGCAATGTCTGTATAATAAGAACTATTTCTAACAACTTTCTCCTCATATTCGTCATCAGCGGGTTCCTATTATCAACACAAATTAGAAAAAAATCAGTTCTGAACCATGATTTTGTTTTTCTTCCAATTTTAGTACACACTTATTTATTTCTTGTTCATTTTCCTTCTCTATTATCCCTTATTATCCGGCAAAAATGAACATACAATTGTATGAAAAATGAACAGATAAGTGGCCGGAATGACTGAAGGACAAAAGATCCATAACTGTGCCCCAAAAGTGGAAAATATGAAACACAGAGAGATAGCGTGGAATTGAAGGCTCCAGTCTTGTATTTCTTCCTCTCCTTCTTAATGCAATTCTTGAGATGAAATTATAAGAGATTTTACTACAAGGTATTAAATAAGCCATACGGCTCAGTTCCTTTTTTGGCATACAGTGAAATCCATGTCCCAGGTTTGATACACATTTTAGTTTCATTGTTTCAATATGCTCTCTTCTTCCTATAAACAGGCTGTAGTGATTATTCGCGTAACCAAGTGCATACTTGTATGCTAATAAGTTCTCTATTGTCATAGCCTACTTGCAGCAGCTATTAAGAGTTGTGAGTTCAAATGAGCTTTTTAAATAATTTTAAACATTAAGTAAATAAATAAACAAGAATACATTTATCATAAATGTCCTTATCCTAATGTCAAATTCAATACAAGGGCTCATAAAATCAATTCTATTATGATGGGTAGGATTATTGTTCTCTCAACAATGCTTGATGGAAGGTTTGTGAAGGTTTTTTTGTAAATATCATTTTGTGTTATTTTGTTTGTTCAAAGTTTGCACAAACAAAATATTGTCTATGAATGGAACTCATAGACAAAAAGACCTTCACAAACATGAGTGAGTATAAAAGTGTGTATAAGAGTGGGTACAAAGTACAAACGTCATTTTTGTTGTTCTATAGACTTGTGCTAATCAAATCATTAGGTTCCCCTGTTTTGTTGTCTAAATAAATGCTTTAGAAAAAATAGATATGATGAAAACCTGGAAAGTGGCGTCAGGTCAGATGAATTTGTGTAGTTCACAATTGATTAAATTACCTCAGATTTAACTAGGCTGGAACTGTGGCGGAGTTCAGACACAACAGAAGTGCGGCGGATGTTAGAGAAGGCAACTGCGTCATAGGATTTGTTTTTGTGAGGAATGAGACTGCAAAATATAGATACATGGAAGAAATGGATCGCGCCGTGGGGAGATGTGACCCAAATAGCCGAATTCGACGGAACTCCGACACTCTTCATCATATTATATAGTTCCGGGGATAATAGGAATCGGGAACAAAACTATAGCCTACCAGCAGTGCTGCTAAGAACTGATAAGTGATGTTATGGGGGGTATAAAAGCTGTCTCTTGCCTCCTAGATTCTTGTGCAAAAAAGAGGCTGACCTTGATTGCTGTGCAAAAGAGAGGTAGCCTCTATTCCTACCTGCAAAGAAAAAACCATTAATAGTACGTAGTAATATACATAGTACATGGTATTATTATTGTATTAATATACTCACTCCGTCCTTCTAAGTTTGTCCCGTTTTACCTTTTTCGTCCGTCCCATTAAGTTTGTCTCATACCATATTTAGTAATATTTGAGTGGTTAAAATCTATTCTTACTTTATTCACACTTTTTCAATTCAATATCAACCACATATTTCCATTTTTTCATAAATTTTGTGCCACACCCTCTTGACTTCATAGTATGATACTATGAAGTCAATAAATCTGAAAAAAAATATCACCCATGATAAAAAAAAAAAAAATAAGTGAAAGTGTAGTTATCCCCTAAACTACGTAGTAAATTTGAATATAAAGATTATACACACACATATATACATTAAACACATACTTTGTACTCCATCCGTCCCAGAAAATTCTTCCAACTTTCCTTTTTGGGACGTCCCAGAAAATTCTTCCAACTTCACCTTTTTTATTATTTGTGTGGCTCACATTCATTTCACCTTTTTCTTACACAACTACAACCACACATTTCCACTTTATTCCCACTTTCTTAAACTCCGATCCAAGTCAAACTTGGAAGAATTTTCTGGGACGGGGGGAGTATATATTGATAAATAATATATATATGATAAATTGGAATTATAATAATACTAAGATTGAATCGTATGATGAAGAAAGAAGTTGTATATTACGTATGTGTATCGTGCCTCAATTACAAAGACTACTGATCGTATAAATACAACCAAGACTAAAGCTATACTAGGAAAGAGGATAATTACAATAAAGATGGGTAATAATATAATTATAACACGTACAAAGCATGAGATCCTCAAATTCCATATATACATATGAACGACACTTTCCATGTAGCATGAGATCGGTACTTTCCATGCATGGAATTATTTTACGTAATACTCCCCCTCAAGTTGGAGTATGGAGGTCTCGAATACCCAACTTGCTACGTAGAAAGTGAAACCGATCAGCACCTAAGGCCTTAGTAAAAATGTCAGCAACCTGATGTTCCGTAGAAATAGGCTGAGGTAGTATGTCGCGACTGGTGACACGTTCACGAACAAAATAACAGTCCATTTCCACATGCTTGGTACGTTCATGATAAACGGGATTGGCAGCAATATGCCGAGCAGCCTGGTTGTCACAAAATAGGGGTGTGGGCGAGGTAAGGTTAATGCCAAAGTCACGTAAAAGCCACCGAAGCCAAATGATCTCACTAACAGCAACTGCCATGGACCGATATTCAGCCTCAGCGGATGAGCGGGAGACAACGCTTTGCTTTTTCGTACGCCATGAGATGGGGGATCCGCCGAGAGTAATAAAATAACCAGAACTAGAACGTCGGGTAAAAGGACAACCCGCCCAGTCAGCATCACAATATGCCGTCAAGGTGAAATCAGTAGTGGAGGAAAGGAAGATGCCCATACCGGGCGTGGCCTTCAGATACCGAAGGATACGGTAGGCAGCGTCTAAGTGGGTTTGGCGAGGCTCTGACAGAAATTGGCTCAACTGGTTTACGGCAAAAACAATGTCTGGTCTTGTCACCGTTAGATACAGCAGTCGGCCAATGAGCCGCCTATACATGGAGGCATCAATTAGAGGGCTGTCATCCGTAGGACGGAGCTTTAGATTCTGGTCCATGGGAAATAAACTTGGGCGGCTACCTTGCATGCCACTTTCTTCTAGAATATCCAAAGTGTATTTTCGTTGACAAAGAACAAATCCGGCAGATGATCGCGCCACCTCAAGTCCAAGAAAATATTTGAGGACACCAAGATCCTTGATAGTGAATTTATGATCAAGATGTTGTTTGACGTAATTGATATGCGCCAAATTATTACCAGCAAGCAAAACGTCATCAACGTAAATTAGGGCCGCGGTGTAAGTAGTGCCACGACGGTAGACAAAAAGAGAATGATCCGCACGAGATTGGTTAAAACCAAGTAGTGAAAGAGCACAGGTAAATTTTTCATACCAATTGCGGGATGCCTGACGAAGCCCATATAGAGATTTCTGTAGTTTGCACACACGATGATCGCCCGGTTTAGCAAAACCTTGTGGAATTTTCATATAAACATGTTCATGGAGATCACCGTGCAAAAATGCGTTGTTGACATCCAGTTGATGAACAATCCAATTATTTTTTGCCGCAATCGCCAGTAGGCACCGTACAGTAACGAGCTTGGCTACGGGGGCAAACGTCTCATGGAAATCCACGCCTTCAATTTGAGTGAAACCTTTTGCAACAAGTCGGGCTTTGTACCGTTCCACTTCACCATTGGGTTTGTATTTAATTTTATAAACCCATTTTGAATCAACAATCTTCTTGCCGGGTGGTGGTGGAACCAAGATCCAAGTGCCGTTTGCCTCAAGTGCGTTAATCTCCTTTTGCATGGCTTCCCTCCATTTGGGGTCTTTAATGGCTTGAGAAAAATATTTGGGCTCATCATGTGATGTGATGGCCGCTAAAAAAGCACGGTGAGAAGGAGAAAATTTATTATACGTAAGAAATTGTGTAAGAGGATGTACCGTTGAGTTAGCCGAAGGAGGGGTAGAGATGGAACCGGTGAGCGAAGGTGGCAACGTAATATCAAAGGCGTCCAAATGTTTGGGGCGTCGTCTGTTCCGGTCACTTCTCCGTGGAGCAATAATATCAGCGTGAGTATTGGCACAGATTCAGAATTGTGTTGTGACCCACTATCTTCAATTTGAGGGGGCACGTCATTACTGGAAGTCAAAGGCAGAGTGCCATCTAGCATGGGACTTGAGGAGCTGGAGGTCCGGATTGCTGGCCGTGAATAGATGGGAATGGCAGGAGCATTATTGCAGCCAACAATTTTATTATAGACCATACGTACATGCATGTCAAAATCACCCATATACATAACATCTTTGAAAGGAAAAACATCCTCAAAAAACGTAACATCCCTGGAGCTATATAATTGTTGAGTACATAAATCAAAAACTCTATAGGCCTTTTGCCCATTAGGATATCCCACAAAAATACAAGGGCTCCCCCTTTCATCAAACTTATCCTTTGTCTTGTTGTTGTGAGCATAAACAAGACACCCAAAACTCCGGAGGTGCATGTAATTGGGTACTTTGTGAAATAATAATTCATATGGGGTCTTGTTAGAAATGATGGGTGCAGGTAGCCGATTTATAATATGAACTGCAGTAAGAATGCACTCACCCCAAAATTCAACGGGTAACCCGGACTGAAAACGCAAGGCTCTGGCTACCTCAAGAATGTGACGATGTTTGCGTTCTACGACGCCATTTTGTTGTGGCGTTTCAGTGCAAGAGGTCTCTAGAATAATTCCATGAGTGCTATAAAAATCCAGTAATGCATGGGTCTGAAACTCAATGCCATTATCAGTACGAATGCATTTGATGCACTGATCAAATTGAGTACACACCATGTTATAAAAATGCATTAGAAATTGCCCAACATCGGACTTATTTTTCATAAGGTAAACCCAAACGCCACGGGTAAAATCATCAACAATAGAAAGGAAATAACGTGCTCCGGTGAGGGAACGACAATTGTACCCTCCCCAAATGTCACAATGAATTAATTCAAAACAACATGTAGTTTTAATACTGCTACGGGGAAAAGGAAGACGAGTCTGTTTAGCTCGTACACAAGAATCACAGAAAATAGTACTTCGCTTGAAACCTTGCAGGAGAGTGATGTGGCGAAGTTTTTCATCCGACGCATGACCGAGACGTTGATGCCAAACCTCAGCATGTGTGGAAGCAGACATTGCCACTCGCTCACCAGTAAAGGATTCCAAGTAATATAAGCCATTGTAGAATCTACCCACTCCAATCGGCTTCCTCGAGGGTAAGGCCTGCAATACACAAAAATCCCCGTAAAATATAAGTGCACAATTATGTTCATTGATAAGACGGCTAACAGATAATAAATTGCACCGAAAGGATGGAATGCATAAAACACGTGATAGTGTCATTCCACCAGGTAAAATAATACTGCCAATAGAGTGTACGGGCACTATATCACCATTAGGTATCCGAACCGGGGGCTCCGATGGACTTGCCATAACATTGGATAATAAAGATTCATCGTGCGTGATGTGATCCGTTGCCCCGGAATCTATAATCCATGTTGGCCGAAGTTTGGTGGTACCTGCCATGTTGACCTGGGTAATAGGGGGCTCCTCTTGAGTGGGTCCTTTTCCTTTAAATTCATCACGTACCAACTGTGCTAGGCACTGAAGTTGATCACGTGAGAAACCAAGTGTATTTATGTTAACTTGGTCAACATGTGCAGCCCTTGGTTGACCACCCTTTTTATGCAAGTTTCCCATGCGATCACGTGGCAGTGTAGAACGAGCTCCTTGAGGTTTGGTGTCTCTGTTTCGCACGTTCCAGGTAGCCGGGTAGCCGATTATTTCAAAACACGTGTCAACTGTGTGATTTGATTTTCCACAATTAGTACAATAACGTCCGTCTCTCCCAGCACCCAATTTTCGGTTTGGATCTGAAGAAGGATTAGCTTGAGCCTGAAACGCCGAGATTTCAGGTCCGACTTTCCGTGAACTAGCGATGATGCGATGCTGCTCCCCCTCTGAGATGAGATGATAAGCCGCAGTCAGTGTTGGTATGGGTCGGGTAGCAAGAATTTGAGATTTGAGTGTCCCATAATATTCATCCAAACCCATTAAAAAATCATATAAATGGTCTCGATCACGGGCTTCATTGAGTTTTTTAGTGATATCACAAGAACACTTTCCACAAGAACAAGTTGGGTCCTTTATGATTGACACCATTTCATCCCATACGCGCCGGAGTCGACTAAAATAAGCCGACACGGACTGCCCATCCTGCCGAATGGCTCCAAGTGAACACCTTAATTCATATGCTCGTGGTGCGCTCTCCTTTCCAAAACGTTCTTCAAGATCCGTCCAGATTTCACGTGCCGTCTTGAATTTGACGCTTTGTCGCAGTTCTAGCTCCGTGCTACTGTTGAGCCACGCCTTAACCATCGCGTTGGCCCGCTGCCAATATGGTAAATAGGGTGATTTTGCCTCCGGCATCGGCAAGTCTCCATTCACGAAGCCAATTTTATTTTTGGCATACAAGGCGTTGCTCATTTCATCGAGCCAGTCGCCGTAATTACCATCTCGTAAAAGTGAAGTCACAAACACATCCCCCGGTTTATCACCAGATTGGATGTAATATGGGGACATGCAATCTATGACCGGCATGTTACCGCCGCCGCCGGCTTCATCGCCAACCACCATCTTTTCGGGATATCAATTATCAGTATGAAAAAATTCCAGGATTTGGCTCTGATACCATGATAAATAATATATATATATATGATAAATTGGAATTATAATAATACTAAGATTGAATCGTATGATGAAGAAAGAAGTTGTATATTACGTATGTGTATCGTGCCTCAATTACAAAGACTACTGATCGTATATATACAACCAAGACTAAAGCTATACTAGGAAAGAGGATAATTACAATAAAGATGGGTAATAATATAATTATAACACGTACAAAGCATGAGATCCTCAAATTCCATATATACATATGAACGACACTTTCCATGTAGCATGAGATCGGTACTTTCCATGCATGGAATTATTTTACGTAATATATATGAAGTGTTTATAAATAGACACATGTATATATATGTACACAGTTGCACATGCACGAAGTACCTATAAATACGAGTAGTATTTAGGGGCAGCATGAAGCACCAAACTGTTTTTACAAAGAAAACAGCCCCAGTGAAATCTCATCAACCTTTTTCTTGGGGCGTGTGCATAAAAGTTCTATAAATTCAAATCTCTGTAACAGAACTCAGCCCATCAAGATTGATAGTCTGTTTCTTGGGACGTGTATTTTCTTTATAGAAATAGTTTTCATTTCCTATAAATACTAGCAAACTCTTTTGCAACGAACACCACATAATACGTAGTATATAACTCTACCTCTTTCAAGGCTCAGGATGAAAAAAGTTAAAATATCAACAAAAAATGATGTACTCCGTATATACATACATATAGCATTTCTTTTGCTAACGAGCAATGAGAATACACCTTCCAGAAGCAACGCAGGGGAGACAAACCCAAAATTATCTGCAGCTTTTTGGCACCTATTATTATTCACAAGAAAGAACTACAATGAGGCAGCTCCCAACCATGGGTCTCTAGAGGTAATTCCCCTACATGAAAATTGCAGCTCACCCAAAATCTAACCTAAACGTTTTTTCTAAGCTACATTTTCTCAAGGGGTTTTATTTCAGCAGCTCAGGGGTATATCTGATATATTCATTTGAGTTGGCCGAAGACTTAAAGAAGCACAATGAAAACACAACTTTAACAAGCACAAGTAAAGGAAGAAAAAGCCAAAATTTCCTGAAGTTTCTTGGCACCAATTCTTATTCCCGTATAAAGAACTACGTAGTACTAAGAGGCAATTGCTCAACAATGACAATCTAAATCTACTTTCCTAAATTAAATATGCAGCTCAATGAAGACTTCCAACAAAGGGAAGTCCCGCAATTAAAGCTCCCGAAAAAAAAACAGGAAGATAATATAATACTTCGTATCAATTCTTGAAAAGAATGACTACAATAAATTATTACATGCACACTTGGGCATAGACACATATATCAACAAGTTACATATATAGATAAAAATACCTAAAAAGATACAAATATACATAGCACACATGCACAAAAGCATACATATATGATATATGACAACTTTTCATGTCCAGCCGGCCTGACGGGAACTGCCGTCCGGCCGAGGGCATTTCGGGCACTTCCCGGTGGAATATTTTGATGACATTTTTTGAGCATGTTCTTCATGAAGTCTAGTTTATCCATACCAAATTTCAGCTAAAACTTCAATCGGGAAGGCCCTCAAATAATTTCTTGAATTTAACTGGGCAGTTCATACATATAAACTGCGCAGTTAACTTCAACAAATTATTTGACTGCCTTTCCGATTGAATTTTTAGCTCAAATTTGGTATGGATAAACTAAACTTCATGAAGAACATGCTCAAACAATTTCATCAAAAAATTCCACCGGGAAGTGCCCGAAATTCCCTCGGCCGGACGGCGCTTCCCGTCAGGCCGGCTTGACAGGTATTTTTATCTATATATATATATATATATATATATATATATATATATATATATATATATATATATATATATATATATATATACATATATATAAACAAAATATGTCCGCTCTAAAAAGCTTTGGCAATGAAGTTTTAAGTTGTTATTAATGTTTACAATGATCAACACTAATTCAATGTATATTTCTTGATGGAAATGTAACAAAAGCATTAACTTTGTATTACGTATAGTTGAAAGCATACATTCAATATTTCAATTATCTTTATAATCTCAGCAAACTAGATTACTTCATCACAAGACCAAAACAAAATGCTGAAATGGTGTGTGACGAATAAAATGAGTTTAGTTATAACTTATAATGATTAAAAATGACTTGAGGGGATTACCTACACATGATGCATTTAATTTATCTTTGTATCTACTAGAGACCTGAATATTCAGCTGTATTTGGCTCTAAAAATATAATCATGCGTAGTAGTATTTGCTAACCGGAAATTATTTTAGAATTAAAAAATTGGAAAAAATAGGAACTTGCGGATCTGAGCTATCTAAATACTCCAGAGAATTATGTCAGTATACCGACCGTATCAGAAGAACAGAACCGTGCCTTTGTAGCATACAAGTCCATTTAATGTTCAAAACCGGTTAAATCATTCTATGAATTAATAAGATATCATAGTAAAAATATATTGGGATTTTTTCACAAATAGACTAAAAAGTACAAATAAATCACCTTTTTCACTTTTTATTTTTGTTTTCAAAAACAGATTTCCTAAACTTTTCTTTTCACAAATAGACTTTACCTACTCCGTAGTATTAAACTCCCCTTACCAGAACGGTTGCTCTTTAGAAACGTAGAGCAGGTTGATAAGGATAAACACTAGTTAGCAATGCTACCCTTGCCACGTCAATTAATACGTAATGATACTATCTCCATTGTTCAAATTTTGAAAAAAATAAACTGGAAAAAAAGATTTTAAAAGTAAAAAATGTACAAAAAGATAATGAAACTGAATATATAAAAAATAATAAGTAAATTATATATATAATAAATATTTTCAGGAATCTTGAAACATAAAAATAATAAGAACTTTTTAAAAGACAAAAAAAATAAAAATTAAATAAAAATCTAAAAAACTCTAGAAATTTAAAATAAATAAATAAAGTAAATTAAAATGAAGGAGATTACGAGTATAAAATAAAGCATGACAGAAAAAAATCTATAAATTGTCAGGAAAACACAAAAGATTTAAAAAATAAAAGGTAATTCCGGAAAATAATACATGTCCATTTTCTAAATTAAGAATGTGAAAATTATGATAAACAAAATACTGAAAATATGTAAAAACTGAACAACTATTAAAGAACGTGATTTTTTTTATCTGAAAACGTTCTAAGAAAATAAGTATATGAGATTTTAAAAGAAATAAAAAAACAAATTAAAAATTTAAACAAGATTCTTAGAAAAAAACAGTAAACTAAAAAAGTATAAATATTAAAAATGATCAATCGAAATGAAAAATTGGAAAAATAGAATAATGAAAAAGAAAAATTATAAACTGAAAAACGTATACTTCGCAATTAAGAATTTTTTCATTTTACTTTTATCATTTAATTGTTACTTTTTTTGTTGCATATTGTTTCTTTGTGTTGTTAACTTTGATTTATATGTGTGTGTGAATTTATATGTGTGTGTGAGATTTGTATTCCAAATAAGTAATCAATATAAATATAATTCTAAATGGACAAATATGAAGAAAAAAAATTAATAAGCAACACGATGCAAAAAAAAGAGCAACATGATGCAGCAAAAAGCAACACGATGCAACAAATAGCAACATTTGCAATGCAACAAAAAAAATGATGCAACAAAAAGAAACACGATGCAACAAAAGCAACATTTGCAATGCAACAAAAAAACATGATGCAACAAAAAGCAACACGATGCAACAAGAAATTTATGTTGGCCAGAAAATGCACACAAATAAAATGCCAAGTTTTTTACAGATTCTATTCATAGCTCCTATGCATAAAATACATGCATTAATTCGCTATGACATCGCAGGCTAAAAGAAGTTATTCTAAGGTCAAACAAGTTTATACAAGTGCAACAAATGAATATTTTTCATATTTATTTACCTGAATACCTGATGCAGAGCACCTATACATAGCACATGTAATGAACTGGCTCTATAATGCCCAAAACACGCCAGGTAAACCTGAAAAGTTCCAAGATATCTTCAACTTCGTGTAAATACAAATTTCAGAATCATCAACAACGATTAAAAAAAAAGTGTGCATTGCATTCTCTATAGCACCCCACACGCTGAGAAGAGTGAAATACTTTAAACGAAAACTGATTTCATAAAGTTAACACATCAACCAGCTGAAATGGAAAACATAAGGAAGCAACAATAAACAAGAAATTAAAACTCAAAAATAATATACAGAGTATTATATACGTACTCCTATTGTCATTTTAGGAGTTTAATTACTTCATATGTTTGTATTTCATAAGGGCATAAAGTATTTAAGAAGTTGTAACTAATTGATGAACAAATACAAGGAAGAATATAGTTGCCCTCTAACTAGAATTCTCCATGCAACTCTCTAACTGGTAAAATTTGTGCACACAAGTACTTCCCATAAGAGCATCTGAGCATGTGAGCATTGTGAAATAATGGGAAAGAGGTACTCCAATAGGAGTCCTGACAGATATATTTATAATAGAAGAGTTGCCAAAATACAAAGTATTCCTAAATAGATATTAATTAGGCATATTCCTAAATATCTATTAGGTAGATTCCTAATTATATTAGCCTATTACACCCCCTTAAACTGTGTGGGAGATACAACGCGCAGGTTGTCTTTTAAAAAATGAAATTGCAAACTAAAAAAAACCACTACAAGAAACTCGCTTTTTAGTGGCGGAAAATCCGTCACTAAATCCGCCACTAACTAGTGTAGTGACGGATATTAGTGGCGGACTTTCCGCCACTGAAATCTTGACATTAAAAGCTTTACTGGCGAATCTTCACTTCCGTCACAATATAGAGGCGGAACTTAGCAGCGAAAAATCAGCCACTATTATTAGTGACAGACATTCCGCCACTAACATCCATCACTAAAAAATTAATTTGATAAATATGTTTGATCAAAATGATTTAATAAAATTATTTAAAATGAATTTAAATGGCCCAATAATAAAATTATATACTACAATTTCATAATTTACACATAATACGAAAACTAGATAGCCACAATAACACATTAAATTGGTATACATACCATCATAGGCGCACATAAATAAACACATACTAGAATTTAGTAATCATTGTCAACAAGAATAAAAAATAACATCCCAATGCAAGTCATTTTGAACATCAAAATACAACCCAAACACGTCATTTAGAACATCAAAATACACCAAACACGCTATCTAGTGAATACAAACATCCTAACACACGCAATAGAGGGCAGAGACGATGTTGAGCAATCTGAAATGCATGTCTAATGTCCCTGGAGTCACACAGAGTTTGATTTGTTCTGCTTGGCAGCCTTTGCTCCTTTAAATGACACCATATTGACCATATGGTTCTTTCCAAATGAAGTAGGAGGTGGAGACGGTGTTGAGCAGCCCAAACTCCCTGATACATCTTCAGGTCAATGAGTTCCATTTGCTCTTCTGCCCAGCACCCCTACATCTTTAAATGAAACCATATTGTATTTCAGAATCTTCAAATGACTTGTGTACAGAAAAAATACAGAGTAGCTCATTAAAAAGAACTCATGAAAAATAGACAGCTTTTTACAAATGAACCATAGCACAAATAGAGTAAATTGGGCTTTTCTTTTCCTTTATTTTGCTACAAGCTCCAGCAGCAAGTGCACAAGATAGAAAGCCTGAAAAACAATAGCAGGTACGCGTTCAGAAATAGTGTGTAAGGGAATTTTAAGCTATTCCAATTTGTCTTTCTGTATTGAATATAAGTGTGTATACCTAGTATGGAGTAGGAAAAACAAAGTCTCACAAAAAAACAGAAATGTCATTCTCGAAAATTCACAAACCCATTGTGCAAGAAGCCTGTTATGTTTACCATGCCCAACATATCATATTATTCAGCCTATAGCGTGATTCAACCAAGAAATATTCAGGGGGAGAAACTTACATGTAAGTGAAATCTGGAATTCAAGAAAGAGCACAAAAATCAGGAGAATAATGAGTGCCAAAGTTGAATAGCCCCTATTGCCAGAGTTCCTGATGCATTGACAAAAACGACCAGAACAGGTGGTATTATAAGCATTCTTGATAAAATGGTAAAAACAAAAAAACAAAAAATCGTAAAGAAATTTACCTGAAACCAAGAGGCTTAAGAACTGGTGCATGAAAGAACACTTACGCCACAATGGAAATTTAAAACAAATACGAAAGTACTCTGTATACTTCATGGATAGCCCTAGCTAGCTCAAAATATACAAAATTATACCTTTCCCAAGATTGGTGGAATATACCTCATGGATAACCGTAGTTAAGTTCAATTCCTTCTACATATGTATAGTATTCATTAAACATTAATTCGATTTCTAGATAGATAAGGTATAAAGAAAGTGATTTGGTAAAAGAGATACCGGCAAGACCATGTGCAGGTGCAAAGATGCGGTGAGACCTTAGTGGTAAGTCCATCCCGCCACAGCCCGCTAAGTGTCTTACTAGGGAGATGGAGGCATGGAGCCGCAGAGATGAGGTGAGGCCGCTGGCCCGCTGCAGAGATGAGGTGAGGCCGCCGCTGAGATTAAGAGGGGTGTCACCGTTGAAGAGATTTCAACTAGGTTTTGTGAGTAGGCCGGTTTTGAGGATTTTTGGCGGACGGAGGGAATTTGGGCTGAAATTTTGGTTAAAAAGTGGAGGGATTTTTAGTCTGATGGGCGGGGAGTATGTTTAAAACGGGAGGGAAATGAAATTTTGGCGAAAATATTTAGGGATATCATCATATTAGTTGATAAAAGTTTCCGAAATAGGACTAAAATAATTTGAAAATTCCAAAATATGACTATCATGTTTTTATTCCCAAACTATGAGTAATTACTGCCAAGATTGGAAAATATTGCCATATTTTACGCCTGGTACTGCCAAAACATGAGAGTAATTAGTCCTATTTTGGGAATAAAAACATGGCAGTCCTATTTTGGAATTTCCAAACCTTTTTAATCCTATTTCGGATAATATTCTCTATTAGTTAGTACTCTCATATTTGATAGCTCACAATGTTTTTATTAAGATTGATTTTTTCTTGGATTAGATCAGATTAAATCAGAACAGATTAGGTCAATTTGAGTAAAAACGTCCTCGAACTTTTTTCATAAATTAAGATTGTAAATTCCAATGTAGCTTTCTACTTATATATATATATATATATATATATATATATATATATATATATTTAGGTTCATGTGAGAACTTAATCTTAGGAGAGTAAAAAAGAATACATCTTAACCATTGGATTAGATTACAGTAATCCGTGCGTCTAAACCTTGTCTAAGGGTAAGGAAGTCAATTTCAATTGACCGGTCGTACAATCCCTAAAGCTACGTTGCATGATTCCTTATACAACTGTTTCTTTCCAAAGATATTTTCGTCCATATTCATTCTTCTTTCCTTATGCCAACGTATCGATCGGATATTGTCCTTTGATCGGATTTCGTCCAGAAAGAGAAAGAATTGATCGGAGTTCGGTGCTCTGTTATTCCTCCTTCGTCGTTCTTCTTTCCGGCCTACTTTCTTGTCGAATTTGAAGCTATTGTATTCCTTCTGCTGCGTTTTCAGTTTTTGACTACAGGCCAACGATTCTATGGATTTCAGTAAGTATCAATCGAATGATTTTTTTGATTGTTTAACTGGATGTGCTAGTTTAACAGAAAACGTTAGTGGCTAAAGATCAACGCATAAGTTTGAATAGGTGTTAAGTTGGTCTACTAAAATATGAGTTCAATCCGAGATTCATTAAAAAATGTAGTGTCATTATTGTGATCGTTATGAAAATTAGATTCTCATTATTTATTGATTAGTTTGTTGAAAATTATGATATATACAAGGAATAATAAATTTATTAATTTTTATGAGTTCTATCTTCTTTTAATAATATTAAAATGAAAATAATTAATAAAAATAAGATTCTAATTATTATGAGTTGGTTATTATAATCAATAAAGTTATACTATTATAATCACATTAAGATAATATTTTTTTCACCAATAGTATAATATTCTTTTAGTACTATAATATTTTATTTTATCATATATATACATATGTGAAAAGTACAAATAAACTTCTAGTATATGAATAAATTACAATAAAAAAAAGTTTGTATTATTCTTTAGGTTAGTGGCAGATTATTGTGTCAGAAATGTCTGCCACTAATTGTTGGCGACAATTGTGTCACGAAAATCCGTCACAAATCTGTGTCCGACGCAATCTGTCATTAAAATCCGCCATTAAATAATGGCGGAAAACGTTCGCCGCAAATTTGTGGCAGTTTCAATTCCGCCGCTATTTCCGCCACTAAGTAGTGGCGAAATGGATTTCCGTCACTAAAACCTGTCACTAAATTCCGGATTTCTTGTAGTGAACTCTTAGTAAATATATCTGTGAGCGGAAGATTAGAAGGCACGTCTTTGACAATAAGATCTCCATGAGAATATATGTCTGCAGCAGCAAGCGGCGAACTCAACAGCGCGCTTGAAGCAAGCACCGTGGTCAGCGACGCAGAGAAGGTGGGCTACGCGAACATAGGCAGCAGCAGGCGGCGAACTCAACGGCATGCTGGAAGCAAGCACCGTGTTCAGCGACGCGAAGGAGGTGATCTGCGCCATATTAGCCGCGCTCATCTTCAAAGGATCGGAGACTACCGTAAATGTGGCGGCAGTCGACCCCAAGGCGGCGGCGGCTATAATGAGGTTCATGGGAACCGAAAAAAGAAAAAGCATAAAAAATTAGGAATCTATTAGGTAGATTCCTAATTATATTAGTCTATTATAATAGGCTAATATAATTAGGAAGAAAGTGAGATCTCAGAAAGATTCCTAAATATCTATTAGGTAGATTCCTAATTATATTAGTCTATTATAATAGGCTAATATAATTAGGAATCTACCTAATAGATATTTAGGAATCTGCCTAATACTCCCTCCGTTTCTAAAAGAACCTCACACTTTCCTTTTTTGGATGTGCGAAAATAAAAGTCACACTTCCCTTATTTCCTTATTTGGCAAAGAAATCTACATCCAAACAGTGCCAAACAGTGCCAAACAGTACCAAACAGTGTCCAAACAGTGCCAAACAGTGTCTAAACAGTGTTTTCTACAGTAAAGTCAATTTATTTCCTTAATAATCGTGAAGTCAAACCGTGACTTTCTTTTAGAAACGGAGGGAGTATCTATTTAGGAATACTTTGTATTTCAATTGATTACAAATCAGTCACACAATATCCAATCATATAAATGCATATAGTCTGTCTAAAAAAAATTGTATCTACAAACCTAGAGCTCTGATACCATGTGAAATAATGGGAAAGAGGTACTCCAATAGGAGTCTGACAGATATATTTATAATAGAAGAGTTGCCAAAATACAAAGTATTCCTAATAGATATTAGGCAGATTCCTAAATATATATTAGGTAGATTCCTAATTATATTAGCCTATTAAGCATGAGAGCATCAAAGATTTGAATATAATCTATCTCAAGTTCCGTAAATGCAAATTTAGTATCTAGACTCTCTTGAATTACATCAATTATGTTTTGCATCGATCTTATCCGCAATCAATGTGAGTGGAAAATTTTTATACTTCGTATAAAACTTCAAATCTGGCAGTTTGAGGAGTAGTGTCATGGGAGATCCTCATACCTTGGGAATAATTAGGAATTCTACTTTAAAAAATTTTGATATGATTTGATTTCAGATAATGGTTCGCCAATGACCTTACGGCTTCAATCTTCGGTACTCTCGAATTGCTAGGCACGCCATCGGTCACCAAATTGACGTGGGAAGAATCAATAGGGCCGGACCTCCCAATTACAGCTCCTGGAGCAGCAATTACAGTTGCGGAGTAGCAATTACAGCTGCCGGAGCAGCAATTACAGTTGCGGAGTAGCAATTACAGCTTCCAGAGCAATTGCAGTTGCGGAGTAGCAATTACAGCTTCCAGAGCAGCAATTACATCCACCGGAGCCATCACGGTAGCAAATACTCCAACCTTGTCCAGTACGAATTCAACGTGTCTCTGTGTTTGAGTGAGGATGAGGCTGGAGATTTCATCTTTGAGATGTACCTCTTATCGATCGGATATTCGGATTCTTCTGCAGAGAAGATGGGTAAAGTGCTGTGTTCGGTGGTGGAACTTTGGAGGGCAACGGAAATTATTAGAGAAATTGTCCCATATAAGACTAAAAGAAGGGAGAAATTCTTAAATAGGATCATATGTGTTTTATTCCCCAAATAGAACCATATTACTCCTATTTTAAAACCTACGTAATTCTCATTCCACTTTTACCCTTATTTTAGCCGATCGTGGATCTCTTATGCGCATACCCTTATCTCTCTCTTTCCATCACACCCATCCTCCATCTCCCATTCTTCCCGATCTGATTCTTCTTCTTTGCATAGCAAATTTGATCGATCTGCTCCATCTCTGCACATAAGATAGATCAACTTCACCACAATGTCTGTACGCCGTCCTTGATTTTATCCTTAGCCATCGCCGCCGCCGCCCTGCCGCCGCCCCGCCGCCGACTCCACCGTGCGTACGCTGCAGTTTGGTAAGGTTTCTTCTTCTTCTTCTTCCACTTCTTCTTCTTCTTCTTCTTCTTCTTCTTCTTCCTCTCTTCTTCCTCCTCCTATTATTCTATTTTTTGGCTTTGAAAC